GTGCGATGATTCACTCCCCAAGTGAGCGTAACGGGCTGATGTTATGCCGATCCGAAGCTGGGAAACAGGACCCTCTTCCAGGTCTCCCACACGGGTGCAGCGTCCCAAAGCTTTGGGTCGTCCTCAACTGCTTTCCCAGGCCACAAGCAGGGAGCTGGATGGGAAGTGGAGCTGCTGGGATTAGAACTGGTGCCCATATGGGATCCCTGCGCGTTCAAGACGAGGACTTTAACTGATAGGCCATGGTGCTGGGCCCTCAGATAGTCTGATTTCTGAAACAGTTTTTATTTTTGTGGAACTAATACTGTTTTGTTACAAGATTTATTCATTTATTTTTTTAATTGGAAAGACAGATTGACAGAGAGAAGGAAAGACACAGAGAAAGAGCTTCCATTTTGCTGGCTCATTCTCCAAAATGACTGGAACAGCAGGAGTTGAGCTGATCTGAAGCCAGGAGTCAGGAGCTTTCTTTGGTTTCCCATGTGGGTACAGGGTCCCAAGACTTTGGACCATCCTCCACTGCTTTCCCAGGACATAAGTAGGGAGCTGGATGAGAAGCAGAACAGCCAGGATATGAACCCGTGCCCATATGGGATCCTGGTGCTTGCCAGGGTAAGGGTTAGTTATTTGAGCCATCACACTGGGCCCACAACTGAAACTTTGACAAAAATAAAGGGGAACTTCCAAAAATTCATGGAAAATTGATTTATTTCATGCAAAAGTACTTTGCAAATCAATATGTGTTTTATGTTACACATTTTCTACAAGGATTTCAGTTTGCATTTTTTTGCATCATAATAAATACACACAAAAAATTTAGGGGTGGGCAGTATTGTGGCACCGCAGGCTAAATGGCTACTTGTGATACTGGCATCCCCTATCAGAGTGCTGGTTGAAGTCATGACTACTCCAGCTCTGACCCAGCTTCCTGCTAATGTGGGAAAACAGCAGAGGATGGTCTCAGAACTGGACTTCCTGCCACCAGCATGGGAGTCCCAGCTGGAGTTCTTGGCTCCTGCATCAGCCTGGCCCGGCACTGGCTCTTATGATCATTTGAAGAGTGAACCAGTGGATGGAAAATCTCTCCTCCTGCTTCTTTCTTTAAACATTTTATTATTTTATTTGAGACACAGAAAGAGAGGCCAACAGAGTTCCTGGTGGGTCAGAACTGAGCAGGAAATTACAATCAAAGTAGAGCCAGGACTCCAACATGACATCTGTGTGTTCCAAAGGGTGGCTTCACCACTCCGCCCAATGCCCACTCCACAGAAAATATCAGATTTTATTTTTTGCAAAATTTTTTAAATATTCTTCTGTGTTCCTTATTTGTGAAGGTAGTACTTGAGAATCTCTGTAACCTGTGCGCCTTTCCAGAGCTTCCTATTGCAGCAGCTGGGATGCTAGTCAGTGTACACAGAGAACCTGCTGAGGCGGCCTCGAGCTTGTGTGAACTCTGCTGTCCTTCCTTCCAGCTGCCTGTTGGTCCTCGTGTTGGTGCTAAGTAACTGTGATTTGGGGAATAGCATATTACCCTTCCTCATTTAGGAAATGGGGGGAGGGGAAAACAGGAGAAAGATACAACTAAGAGATCATTATGTCTCACAGTGTGGCTTCCTTCATTCCAGTGAATGGCAAAGTTGTTTTCAAAGGTGAATTCACATGCGGTAATAGGGAAAGCACTGCATCAGGTGTTATCAGTAATCTAAGGATGATGTAAAATGTGTGTGTGTACACAAGTTGTATGTAAATATACTCTATCTGCTCCTTTCAGTGTCTGTGGGTGGTACTGACATCAATACCCCACGGATAATGAGAGGTGTCTGCATTTTTTTCCTGTTTTTTAAGTGACTGAACTACAGGCAGATTCCCCGACATTGACTGCTTTGTGCTTCTGTCCTGTTCTGTAAATGACTGCAGGATAAGAGGGCTTCTTCTGTCCAACTGCCCACTCAGGGCCCCAGGGGATGGCTCAGGGGAAAGCCTTCTTCCACAAAGGAGTTTCAACTTCAAGGAAAATGAGGAAGTAGATTAATTCCCATGGAGATTTTTTTTACCTCGAAACTTTCTTTTTAATCTGAAAACGGAATGGGAAAATTCTTTCCGTGATTTTTATCTAACTTCTATAAACAAAGACTTGAACTCCAGAGAGCATGATCAAAACACATCATTTTATTACATATGAAAAATCTACATTTATTCAAAATTTGTAAACTTTCTAAAACAGCATTTACATTTCAAAAAATAAGTTTTATGAATAGATTACTGAAAATATCTGAAAACATTTCACATACATCCATATTATTTTTCCTGTGCACAGCTTTGTTGGAAGGTGAAAATAGTATTTAGTTCAGTTTTGCTGGTTTCATTAAGAAAAATATGAAAAAAAAAATCTGTACGTGGCATTAAGAATAATAACAAAATTACTTTCACCTGGATTATTTATAATAAGCTCATATGACTAAAATGAGAAAAGATGAAGAATGCAGGAAATATGGCACCCAATGGTCCTTACCTCTTTAATAAAGATGAAAATAATGATTTAAAGAGAACTAAATTTTATTGAATATTTATCCTGCCTGGCTTATGATTTACATGACTTAATGCTTCTAAAAGTAGACATTAAGTCTGTGCTGACAACTATAAAGGATTTTATGAACATTTGGCAATCTGAACTAAAAAGGAAATCATTAACCACTGACCTAATAGTAGGATTATGTCAAAAAGTAGAATAAAATAAAACTGTTACCTTTATAGGACTAAGAGAAGCTTTCCATTTGTCCTTGGTGATCCCACCTTTGAACCTTTAATGGCATATGTACAGATATTCACATAACAAACTGAAAGGTATCCATTATATATATATAAATTAATATACTATCTATCTACATATGAAACTATCAGTTCAGATTAACATAGCTATGTGAATGGAAAATCCCACCGTTTTATTCTTGCTTAAATAGTTATCTACCTGCTTGGGAATATTTTTAAAAGTTAAATTTGCAAAAAAATTTTTTTTGCTTTTGAGCCTGGCACGGTAGCCTACCAGCTAAAGTCCTCATCTTGCATGCACCAGGATCCCTTATGGGCACCGGTTCTAATCCCGGTAGCCCTGCTTCTCATCCAGCTCCCTGCTTGTGAAAGCAGTCAAGGACGCCCAAAGCTTTGGAACCCTGCACCTGTGTGGGAGACCTGGAAGCGGCTCCTGGCTCCTGGCTCCAATTGGCTCATCTCTGGCTGTTGTGGTTACTTGGGGAGTGAATCATAGGATGGAAGATCTTCCTCTCTGTCTCTCCTCCTCTCTGTATATCTGCCTTTCCAACAAAAATAAATAAACTTTATCGTTTTTCGGCCTTTTGGCTAAGATCAAGGCTAGTATTTTTTCTTATCAAAAATAAATAAATCTTAATTTTTTTTGTTTTCTTACTACAAATGCCTAATAGTGTTTTTTTTTTCAAAACATAGTTTTGAAAAATATTTCATTGTTTCTCAACAATGCTTGTTCATTTGAACTCTTAGTTTTCCTCCCGGGTGGATGTCTCAGCACCACTTCATTTTCTAAATCAGGTGACACACTTAACCTTGTGTTCCAGGATTCTTTGAATTGGGCAAAAACAAGTGACAGCTGAAAAACAACTGAATATTTCATTCAGAGTGGAGAAGCAAGGCAGCCTCAGGTTGGATGTTAGGAACAGTCAATGTCCTCACTGAGAAAGTGTGCTAGAGAAACCGAGTATTCTCAAAACTAAAACCACAAACGTTCCAAGGATTTGTATAACATTACGTTTTCAGGAGATACTTTTCATATAAATATGTGTTCATAGCTTATACAACTGATATGCAAGTAAAGTAAAACAGAAGTCCCTGGAGCGAGCATGTAGCCGACCTGAGATACCAACCCACAGATCTTCCGGAAGGTAAACAAGTTCCAGACATTTAGGATGCACTGAGATAGTTCTCCACACGCACCTGTGCTGAAGGTGACAGTCGTCCTTGAGTCACTCAGCATCACCCTGAACATACCAGATCAGCAGAACTGAGAAGGCTTCTGTTTAGAAAGACTGGTAAACTAGTTTTAATTTCCTTATAAAATGGAGAAAGTAGTCAATGTCAAAAGAACCGTGATGACCGTTGGTTCAGGTTAACAAAGGATTTTCTAATTGTTTCCAATCAGAGGGATCTTTTATCCCATTCTTTTAGGGATAAAAATATTTAAAAGAAACTAAAGTGTATAATACAATCCACTCGATGCAGCAATTATTCTACAAGGATCTCTACATTAACAAGAAAAATCATCTTTGGGATAAAAGAAAAGGAAGATAAGTAACCCCAAAGCTGAATTCACATGGGCTGCTCCAGAAACACCACATTGTCTGCCATCCAGGCCTGAATTAAAAAGAACCTCTGAACACAATTACCTGTGTATTTGTGTTTCTATGAAAAGAAAAAAAAAAAACTGTTTCCTTTCTCTGAGGCCTAAAATGTTTTTCCTCATCCTCAGTTCTTCCATCTTGAACTAGTAGTCAGTTCCCATCAAAGCCAATGAATTGCATTTTGCCATATCTTCATCAAAGGAAATGGATTTACAAAGCATGCATATTTTTTTTTTTCTTGAGGAGTGTATCTGTGCAGTCTGAAAAGGAGGAAGTTGTGGAAGAGAGGTCAAAGCACCAGTGACCTCACTTTTCAGTTTTAATAATGTGGGATTATGACTCATCACAGCTGGTGACTGATACTCGGCTTATCAGAACGCTGATGACTTTATGAGTTATCATGAGTCTAAGAAGAGTCACCAGGGAGACTCAGAGCCATCTGGCAGAGGCAAATGTGATCAGCAGAAAGTGACTAATCAGAGAGATTTTTGGGTGCTTAGTTTGCAGAACTGAGAAGATGAAATAAGTTCTCTGGAGAAGAACTAAAACTTGATTTTCAAATTCAATGGCCCAGATGAAAGCATCTCTCTTTGGCATCACATCTAAGTTGCTAGTTAGAACAGACAATATAAGCTTCCCTATAAGTTCTTTCAAGAAGCAAACAGTTCCCTCTCTGTGGGTTGAAATTCAGACTTTATAGAGACTTTGGTTATCAGTCCTGCTAAACAAGGTAACATCATCATCATGTCCAGACACTGCACAATCTACATTCTCTAGTAAAACATAATTGTTCTCACTGCCATTTGGAGAGAAGACTTGTTTCTTAGCGGTGGATGTCAGTTCGCTCCAGGTAATGTTGGTGTTTTTAAAAGCATGGAGGAGGAAGATGCCATTGATGATTGTGCAGAACCCACTCAAGGTCCCAATGATATCTCCAATGTTCATGCTGTACCACTCCTGGAATAGGATGACCGAGCAGGTCACAACCATACATGTGAAGAACACATAATAGATGGGGGTCACAAGAGATGTATTAAAGGTGTCCAGGGCCTTGTTGAGGTAGTTGATCTGTGTCGTCACTGAGAGCACCAGTACGGCCAGCAAAACAAAGACCAGGGGGTTCTTGTAAACTGGCTTCCATTCTAATAGTTCCTTAATGGCAATTCCCAGGCCCTTGACGGAAGAAACTGAAAATGCTCCAATCAGAGAGCAGATTGAGATGTAGACCAGTATGTTGGTCTGTCCTTTCTTGGGAGCCACAATCAAAATCAGCACCAAGGCGATCACAATTACAACTGCAGCGAAAGAAATAAATCCTGTGAGGAAGAAGAGAGAATTCGACTTCAGAAAATGCTAACAGACTGTGCCTTTAACAAAAGTGTTGTTAGTCATAATGTCAAGAGCATGGGCATTTTAGTGAAAGTGAGATTAAACGAAAAACAACATTCCATTGCAAAGTTCTCAATATTTGACAAAGGATTTTCACCTTCGAATTTACTGTCAGGGCAGGTAGTAGCATATGTTTTCCTTTAGATTTAGGATGAAAGTGGCAAAAATCTGGGTTAAATATGTTTTGCCTTTTTTGCTTCCATATCTCCTTTGCATTGTGTGGAGGGAAAGCAGGAACCACAAGTAAGTTCTGCCACCTTTTTAGGAGTCTCGCAATAATTAACTTTATAACGCATCTTGCTGTATAAGTAGGCTTGTAGAAAGCCTATTATGATATTGTTTCATTTTAAAATTTCGTTATTATTTTCCATGAAATATGTTTTCATCTTCTCCCTCCCTGTCCTTCTCCCTTCCACTGTCCCTCCTGTATTAATACTGTACTATAGTCCCCAAGCAAGTTATAAGTTCAACACTCTGCTACCCACATGAGCCATAGCATTGCTACTGTTCTTCTTAATTAACTAATTAACTTACTGCATGATACAGTTCCAAAGGCTCTGGGATCTTCCCTCTCCACCCCAACTAATCTGTAATATTATTATTACAAATAACATTTGTTGAAGAAAGAAAGTAGAGAACTTGAGCATCTCTTTAAGCTGAACCACAGACCTGGGTCTCTCAACTTCATTTCCATTTCATGCAAAGAAGTGACTTCCTCTTCTTGTGGGGCATGGATAACCATCACAGTTGACCCCAAAATACTTAAAATGCAGCCTATTTTCCCATGGATGTTCAAGTGCTCATTTAAGAAATAGGAAGACAATATTGCACTGTTGGGAGACAAAACAATAAAGTTACCATGATGCAGATACTTTTTTATTTCTTTGCAATTCAGAAATCACACTGTGCGACATGCCACTCTGTATCCCATTGAGCTGACCTGAATGTGCCATGTAATACTGAACAACCTCCATCCATTTATATGTTGAAACATTTACATTGATATACAGTAACGGTACATATTTAGGGGGCACTATGTGACATTTCAATATGTGATGATCAGGTGAGAGTAACTGGTCTACCTATAATTATCATTTATTTGTGTTGAAAATATTCAAAATCCCTTCTGTGACTGTATTTTCAAAATACACAATGGCTGACATCCTTATTTATCCTTTTGTGTAACATAGCATCAGAAATTATGCCTTCCATCACTCTGTTCCCCTGTATCCTTTCACACCTTCTCTCCATCCCTGCAAATCATCTGCTTCATTGTTTTTATCCCTGGGGAGATATAAGAGACAGCCCATATTCCTTCACAGTCCCATGACCTTCCAAGAGGTCTCATCCACTTCATTTTAAGTTTTTGTTCCATCTTCTGCTATAAATCCACACACAACAGAAGATCTTTTTCACTCTGCTGACGTACAGATTGAGTACCCCTGATTTGAAATGCTTGGAAGCAGAGTGTTTTGGGTTTCAGTTTTAAAAATGTTGGACCATGTGCACATATAGGATGAGATATCCTGGGGCTGAGACCCAAGTCTAAGCATGAGATCCACTGATCCCTCGCATATCCAGCCTACATACATAGCCTGGAGATGGTGTTTTCACTGCCACACATTGCATGGGTCAGGTGTGAAAATTTTTCAATTTTGGAATATTTTGGATCTTGGATTTTTAGGGATGCTCAGCCTGAACATTTAGAATATATGTACTATCGCTTCTCGGCCTTTTGGCTAACATCTAGCATAGAATATATGCACTCAGGTGAGTTTCAAAGAGAGATCTGTAACTACAAAATGAATGCACAGGGCTGATATTGAGTTGTTACACAGCAGTTCAAACAGCACAAACAGACAGTCATAATATTAAAACTACTTCCTGCTACTGTGGTACTGCTTTTGTGGTTGTGACCTCAAGAAGCTCCAGATTGGCACTATGGTGGATAACAGGGCATCATCCTGCAGCTCCACCAGCAGGCCTGCTGTATCTCCCAGCAACCTGGCCTGCTTCCTCTGATGCTCCACTTCCCACAAGCCAGTCATCACTGCCCATCTGCCTTCGAGGCTGTGCTCCAACCCTGGGTGCTTTCCCAGAGGTGCCCTGAGGTGGCTTGGTGCAGAACTGCCGTCTCAATGAACACCCGAGTACCTGGCTATTCATTGCTTAAAGAAGTATACTTAGTGCCTTCTCTTTTAATTCTCACTGGAATTACAAATTACTTTGTAGGTAGATGAAAAAAAATGGGCAGGACCAACCAACCGCAAACCTTCTACCAGAAGCTCATGAACAGAAAGGAAAAAGTAAAATAGAAAACAAACAGTAACTTAGCTACAAAACAAGAATAAAGGTCCACTCAGAAATATCAGATTCATTTTCCTGTCCCAGTAGTAAAGAAACTATGGGGTTTCCAAACAGAAACATTCAATAGACAATGGAGAATTTTGGCAAAAAAAGTTAAATTGTAACACTATATGCCTTTTAGGGACCTCTGTTAACTACAGTCACTGACTGTCCCAACAACAGAAAGAATGAAAAGGATTTTGGTGGTCATTTGTTTGGGTGAAAGCTTAAAAAGAAACTTCCCCCAAACTGAGGCTTCACTGAATTGTCACAAATATGACACAGGCATTTGAACATTAGCAGGAAACCAGGCACATTCTAGCATAGGTTTTTTTCTAAACAATAATATGCAATCTATTCCCTACTTCTATTGATACTTATTTTGTTGTCTTCTCAAACTAGTTTTGTGATTGTTTTAGCCAAAAGTAAGCATTTGTTATTCCCATTTAAATGAATGAGGAAGCAGGAGTTCTGTGACTAGTCTAAGGCTTCTCGGGGTCCCGGAAAGGATTTGTGGTCATCTATGCTTTTACAATGCAGGCTGGTTCATACTTTTCTTTAGTGAGATGTGTCTAGTACTGTTTCTTATGGACATGAAAGCATCTATAGAAGCCAGGCTCCCTCCATATTGCTCACATACCTTATGAGAACACTCAGCGCGCCCAGGGGGGTGACCAAGGTGGCAGGTGCAAAAGCATAAGCTGCAAAATTGACAGCCTCTCCTGCTCCCACTAAAAGCAAGCAGAAGTATTACTATACAAACCAGACCTACTCATCAGAAAAGAAAAATTAAGAGACCCTTGCCAAGCAGTGGACTTTTATTCCCCAGACAGTGAAAGATCAAGCGAAATTCAACGGCCTAGCTTGTGAAATGGAAGCTGGGAAGACTGGTGATACAGGATGTCAATGAACTGTGTTTATCTGGAGCTAAGGTCTGAACATGGTTTGAGAGTGCTCATGTGTGGGAAGCTTGGTCTCTGGTGTGGCCTTCCAGGAGCTGGGGGAGCCTTTCAGGGTGGGGGTTAGTGAGAGGTCCTTAAGTCCTTGGAAGGGATCGTTATGGTTTTCTGGGGACCCTGGTCAGCTCTTCCAAGAGGCCCTGCTCTAAAACAGCAAGGCCAGTCTCTCCTCACTCTCTCGCGAGATGCCTTGCTTTGGCACATGCTCCTGCCATGGTGGCATCTGCCTTCAGGCCCTCGCCAATGCAGAACCAATGGCACTTTCCAGTTTTGGGCTTTCACCTTTGGAACTGGGAGGTCCATGAATCTCTTTCACTCACAAGTACCCAGTGTCTGACACTTCATCACAGTAACAAAAAATGAACTAATATACTTGGTGATACGCCCTTGGCTAATGCCCAGAGTGCTGACAGGTGAAAACATGACTTGTATGAATTTCAATGGAAATTTTAGTTACTTTAGTACTAAAAACACAATGGCTTTCTCAAATGAAATCTGGTAGAGGTGGCTTTGGAGTAAGCAGAGATTTCTTTCATTTGCTCAAGAATATGCATTACTTTGCAAATTAAAAATAATTTAGAAAATTAGAATGCTTTGTAGAAACCTGCTGTGTAGGTAGGGGACAGGAGAATGCCCACCGCAGACCCATGAGGTCAGGGATGGCTGAATTGCAAATGGTCTCCAAGTACCAGTATCTCAGAGGGGACCCAAACAACTGTTAGGACATTGCAAGGATGTGTTCCTAAATGTAATGTTTTTCTCATCTGAGAAAAGAGATATTGTGTTGGAAATGCCGTGCTTTTAGAATGAGGGAAAGCTGGGCTCTTGTGCTGGGACCAAATTAATCTCAAAGATCACCACTGGGCAGTTGCTCACAGAATCCAGTATTTCAGGCTGACAAACTCTGCCAGGCTAATGCTTCTTGTGGAAGATAAAGGCACAGAAAACCTGCTTGGCCGCTGTGCTGTATACTTCTCTTCCTAATCTATAGGGCCTTCTAGCCTTGGGAAAACATTGCATATCTGATCTTACAGAACAATTAGGGGATTGCTGTCAAAGAGCTGTGAAAAGTTTCCTTAGGATATTAAGCTTTCCTTCAATATTTTATATTATTTACCTTTTATCTTTATAGGCAGCTTTCTAGGAAAGCCCTGACTTCATGATTAAAGTACAGTATATTTGTCATTACATAAAAATCTCTAAAGGGCTGGCACTGTGGCATAGAAGGTTAAGGTGCCACTTCAGTTTTGGCTTCCCATATGGGAGCAATGGTGCCAGTCCCAATTACTCTGCTTTCAATATAGCTCCCTGGTAATGAGCCTGGGAAAGCAGGTGAAGATGGTCAAATATGGAATACTTGGATGGAGTTTCTGCTTCCTGCCTTAGTCTGGACCTGTCCCATCTGTTGCATTCATTTGTGGGGTAAACCAGCAGATGGAAGATCTCTCTTTTTTTCCTCTCCATCTGTTATTTTGCCTTTCAAATGAATAAATAATTAAGCCTTTAAAAAGTCTTCAATGTACACTTTTCTCTCTAACATATTCTCTAATCTAATATATACTTCAAAAAAATTTGTTTTTCTTTTATCTACCTAAAAGACAGAGTGAGTGAGAAAGCAAGTGAGCCATTCCATCAGCTGGTTTACTACTCAAATACCCACAACAGCCAGAACTGGACCAGAACTAAGAGTTAGGAGTTCCACCCAGGTCTCACGTATGGGTGGCAGGTCTCTAAGCACTTGAGCCATCATTGGCTGCTTGCTAGGTGCATCAGCAGGAAACTGGATTCAGAGTGAGTAGCTAGGACTTGAACTAACACTCTGATGTGGGACTTGGGCAACCCACATGACACCTTAGGTTGCTTTACCACAATATCTGCCCCTATATTTGATATGGTAAAGTAAAATTGCAAATGTAGCCATGCAACATTCTCCTTAAAATTTTCATTTTAAACATGTAAAGAAGGAAAGGGAAAATCATTCAAATGTGTGTCTTGAATCATCCCAGTACATCCCTTGCCAATTTTTATTCAAATAAAATAATTTAAAAAGCATGTGAAAGCATATTAAAAACTAAAGAGGTTGGGGGCCAACGTTGTCTTGTATTGGGTTAAGCCTCTTCCTGAAATGCTTGTATCTCACTGGGTGTCATTCCTGTCTGGGCTGCTTCACTTCCCATCCAGCTCTGATCCAGATCCCTACTAATTTTCTTGGGAAAGCAGCAGATGATGGAACAGGTGCTTGGGCTTCTCTACCTCTGTGGCAGACCTGAAGAAGCTCCTGGCTCTGTCCTTCCTTCACCTGGGAAGTGAACCAGTACATGGAAGATGTCTGGCTGTGTCTCTGTCTCTCTGTAACCCTTTCAAATAAATCAATCAAATATAAGAGCTATAAAAATGCGCACCATCCTTTTAGAACCCATTTAGGAAAGTAGAGGTCTCCTGTTCTTTCCTGTAAAGCATCTCTCACATACTGAACTGTGTCATTGGGTTTGGGAAAATACAAGGAAGTGCTGAGGGCGGTGGCTTGCCAGCGATGGATGTGAAACTACAATTGATCAAGTGCCTGTTGTGGCAGTTTCTGCCATAGAGTTTCAGGAAGTCCAGAAGAGTTCAGTGGGAAACCACACCAGGGAAAGTGGTGGAGGCAGACGTGCCATTTCTATTTTGGTACCACATTAGCATTTAGAACATGTTTTCACATCCTAGTCTCACTTAGTCCCCACAGCAAGTCTGCGAAGAAGGAGAGTGCCAATGGCTTAGCTCATCCCATTGATTTTCAGTTTAAGCTGCCAGAGTCTTTTATGTTTTCCATGCTTTGATTCTGGCAAGGAAAACATCTCCATTCCTGTAGCTAAGATGGTTACAGATTCAAAAGTAATTAGAGCTGAGAAAACATTGAAAGGGAAGCATCTTCTCCCTCAGCTGTTCTGAGGCCAGGTCTGTGATAAAACGACAGCATCTGGACAGTTGTGTTACTGAGCGCACAGGAGGGAGGTGAGAAGAGTAACCTATAAACACATTAAACACACTAAACACACATGTTTTCTTGCACATATGACAAAGTATTACACACAGAGACATGTTTAGATCTAAGTTATATCCTTACCACAAAGAAAAATTTTGAAAAACATCTCATGTAACCAACCATTTGATGGGCAAATCTCTTTAGAGAAGCACTTACTTGACAGTAAACCTGCCCACCACAGCCATTCCTTGAGGTAAGAATGTCCGCCTTGTCCTAGAAAACACCGTGAAGAAAAAGTAAGTGCTACATTCAGGGAAGGAGGCTTGAAGAACTGACTTCTCGGATGGTGCTGAGTTATGGCGGAACCAGGCAAGGCTTAAGGTGAAGTTAGTTCATCAAAGGTCTTCAGGCTACTTATTTGGTCATTTCCAGAAATGTAAAGCTTTCTGTTATGTCCCATTTTGAATTCTCTCTAGAGTAAGTGTTCTTTAATGCATAGAGTGTTCTATTTAATCACTAAGCTTACTATATTTGTGTCAGTGAAGGTTGTGCATACAGAATAATATAAACCCCCGAATAGATTGCTTCAAGTTATGGTAAAAACTAGAAATAGAAAACTGTAAAACATAAATTATATTGGTGTCTAGCAAGGACTTTAGAGGAAGAGTATGGTTGCCACGAAGCTTTTGAAATTTTAAGTTAGTCAATCAGAAGATAATAAGCATTAGATAGATAAACTCATTCTTTGCTTTGGCACGATTGCACTGAACTTCTGTCTAGTGTACTGAATGGGAAAAAAGCTCACCAAAGGTATTCAAAAAGTTATCTTTCTACTACTATAATATGTGATCTCATTGTTTCCTATAGAAAATCATCTCATAAATTTTAATATACCAAATTGCTTAAATTCAACTATATATATATTTTTATATAATTAATGAAAACAGAGTATACAAACTGTGAAGATTATCCTGCAAAGTAGCTAACTATTTAGAATGGTCTCCTTATAGAATATGCAAATGACTAAACTGGAGTCATATTACAATATTGGATTTTATCATCACCTAGTGCCTCTAGGTACTGGTGAAATAACAGTTAGTTATATAAATTTATTAAACATTTATTTGTAATAATTTTATGTTAGAGTGCTAACCTATTTTTCATGACTGCTGTCATTTTTTATATATTAAGAAATGTAACTACCTTCTGTCAAATGAGTATTTCATAATTTTCTCCTCAGTATACATCTGGTTTCTAATTTCTGTTAAAGTTTTTCCACATAGGACTTTTTTTTTTTTTGCCAATTCAATTTCCTTATAGAAAACAGATTTATCCTTTATCTTTATGCTTACAGAGAACTTTTGGGCTTTTTAAAAGATAATTATTTTAGGGTCTGGCATGGTAACTCAGTGGCTAAATCTTCCATGTGTATATGCTGAGATCCCATATGGGTACCAGTTTGTGTCTTGGCTGCTCTACTTCCCATCCAGCCCCCTGCCTGTGGCCTAGAAAAGCAACCAAGGACAACCCAAAACCTCGGGACCCTGCACCCATGTGGGAGACCCAAAGGAGGCACCTGGCTCCTGGCTTCACATCAGCTCAACTCCAGCTGTTTGTGGCCATGTGGGGAGTGAACCAGCACATGGAAGACCTTCCTTTCTGTATCTCCTTCCCTCTGTAAATCTGACTTTCCAATAAAAAAATAAATAATATTTTAAAAAAGAAAATTACTGTAAATTTAACTTGAAACACTCTGAAATTTCCTTTTGCTAAAAGGTTTAAAGTAAAAGTCTCATTTTCTCCTCTAACATTTTTATTTGTCTCAGTATTTTAGGTAATAACTCACACTTTCTCCACTGGTTTGAAATGACCTTTAAGAAAATCATGTATTAATGTGTTACATGTAGCTGGGTCCATCTATAAGTTTACAGTTATCTTATATTATTTATCTGTTTTAATACCAGTACCTCATTCTTTTAATAATATGACAGTAAAATATTGAATAATTATAATACAGAAATACAGTACACTTTGTTTACTGATGGTACAAATATTCCCAACAGTACTCTCGAACAAGTTTGCTTGCACTATTTGCAACCATTTATTTTTCCATATGGACTCTAGAAAAATACTCAGGTTTTCAACCATATTACACTGGATCAAAATGAATAGAAAATTCGTGCCTTATGAAGGCTAGAGCTATTCAGCACCTAAAATATCACTATAAACAGTAGCTTCTTCATACTGCTACCCATTTACTAATTTAACAAATATTTTTGAATGCCAAACACTATGCCAGGGACTTATGAATCTGTAATTGACAAGCAATTGGCCACAATGAGGTAAGCAATAACTTCACAACTACAAGTGATTCTAAATACAACGAAGAAGTGTAATGATAGAGAATAACAACGGGCTGGGGTGGCAGGGACCTGCCCAGAGACGATGCGACAAGGACAGCCAGATGAGTCAGCTGAATGAAGAGAGTTCAAGGTAAAAGACCTTGGGGAGGGAAATTAATCAGTTTATTCCAGGAATGAGAGTAAAGCAGGTGACCTGGAGGGTAACACATGAGGAAGGAGAGGTGATCACATTCAAAGGACCCTTGCATATGGGTCAGAGTCTGCAGGACATGCAGTTGGCTCAAGGAGGAAGACCGAGGCCAAGACAGAGAGACGTCAACTGTTCTGACTGTAAAGCACTTTGGTCTGCCAATAGGGCCATTTCTGCAGTTGGCAACTTGGGAGTGTTTGTTGCATGTTCCTTACCAGCTCTGGTGATGCCCTTGTCAGCCAGTTGCATGAGGCCTTTCTTTTTCAATATGAAGCTGGAGCCAATAAAAACACTGGAACTTACTGCCAGGAGCAAGCCCACATAAAGACTGTATTTGTTTTCTACATCTGCGGAAATGCTCAGGTTTGTTATGCTGGTATTCAGGTCCATGTAGAGGCCGGGGGAAGCCAGCAGCTGGGACACATTGGTGATTTCACACCAAGCCTGGAAGGTGTTCGGACAGACAACCGACAGCACATGGCCTGGGAAGAGAAGAGGGAAATGTCAAGGACTCAGGATTCCTACACAATGCTTACCCCCACCTTGTGTCACAATTAGACTTGAACAGATGGCACTTATCGCTTTCTTACTGCAGGCAGGCAAGGCCCTCACTGGCAGTCCCTGTTGGGTTGCAGAGGGTTTATAAAGACAATTTTAGATAGTTTCATGGTCAGGATTTAAACCAAAAGGCTTTACATGAAAAGTATGAATTTCTCTTATAAACGGCATGTTCTGGCAATATGTGAGTCTTTGATTTGGCAAAATAACAACCATTGATGGAGCAGTGAGTGGATATGTAGGCCTAGCTGGTGCTCACTCGCTCTCCTCATAGCCCTTCTCCACTCGCCTCCTCCTCTATTCTTCACACTACCAGCCTGTGCCTTAGAAAGCAGGGTTACGACACTGAAAGTGGGGAACAGGCACAGCGGCCCCCTTGTCCAGAAATCACCATGAGACTGGAAATGTAGCCAACCTACTCAGTTGGGACATAAATTGTCTTTTAAAAAGTGGCTCTGGAGGTGGGTTTGCTTGTTCTCTGCTGCTTTCCCCAATAAATGAATTAAATATCAGTAAGTTTAAGAGTTAAGATTCAAATAAGCATATAGTAACCACTGAATTGTCAGTGCTTTTAAATGTTGGACCTAAACACTAAAACACAACTGAAATACAGACAAAAAACACAACTAAAACACATAGGTAAGAAACTTTTCATGTATTTTTCAAAAAGATTAATTAATGTTACTTGAAAGAGAGAGATCATCCATCTGTTGGTTCACTCCCCAAATGGCTGCAACAGCAGGAGCTGAGTTGATCCAAAACCTGGAGTCAGAAACTTCCTCTGAGTCTCCCATGTGAGTTTAGGGGCCAACGGATCTTGGACCATCCTCTGCTGCTTTCTCGGGGAGCTTCCTATAGCTCCTTGTCGCTCCCTATAATAGGGAGCAGGATCGGAAGTGGAGCATCTGATTCTTCAACTGTTACTCATATGGAATGCTGGCACTTGCAGATGAAGGATTAGCCTATTATGCCACTGGGCCAGTCCCTGAAATTTTTATATTCTTTTCTTTATTTGAAAAGGTACCAACAAAGTGACACTATGACGGGATGTTCTATTTGCTCGTCCTTGTTTTCTTTTGAAAAAAGCAAACTCTCCCAATATGAACTGCCCTAAACCAAAAACAGGGAAAGGAAAACTAATTGAATGGAAAAATTAGTTTTATACATCAAATATTTTAAGAAGACGTGTGAAACACAGTTTGAGTAAATGATGTTTCAGCAGTAAAGCCCCTAAATAGATCTGGGCATTCTTGGCTAAGTATTAAGAAATTACCGAATTTTACCACATATGAAGTGTAAAAGCCATCAAGTTACGCTCCAGAAAATGGTGGAATGATGAATTTAGGATTTTCATGACTATTATTTCATTTTTTTCTCTACTATTTGAAAATGAATCAGCTTTTCTTCAGAAATACAGAATAAATTCCAAACTGAAACTTCTAAATTTTCCAATGAGACTTAACATTATTAAGATTCTGGAATACTGATAAGTTTTCAGGCCGATTGCTTTTGGTAATAGCAACAAAGCTAGCTATTTGGCCACCTTGTTCCATGCACTATTTATCTACTTAAATTTCCAAATGGAAATAAATCAGCTATGATCAACTGTGTATAATTTTGTTAGTATGAATTTGTATAACATTCATTCCTGAGAAAACATCTGATTTGACTTTTCAATGAATTCCATGGTGACATTAGTGTCATTTAGTATATGGTTAACATAACCATTCCAAAACTCCATCTCAGAAATCGGTGTGGGTGGCTCTCATTCCAGTGAAACAATATTTCCTCTAAGATGTTGACATAGCAAAATGTCCCTGGCATTTCAGGGGCTGTGGGGGCAGAGGGCGATAAGGGAGGGAGCAAACAATCTTGGTTGCCTTTTGCAAGTTTTCATTCTAAGTGGCAGACATGAATGCTTCAAGTTTTATGGTGGGAGAAAATAATAAATGTCTTGCTGGCTGTTGACCTTAATGCTTAAATTGTTTTATGTTTTGGAAATGCATCAGGGAGAACTCCTGTGGCAGCTATGAGGAGGGCAAAGAGAGATATGAGCAAGTGTGGAGTGGTATGCGAGAGATGGGTGAAGCAGGGTGTGTACACAGGGACTCTGCAATATTTCAGAGGAAATGAGAGAGAAGGTAAGTTAGAGTCGGCCTCTCAGGGTCCAAATAAGCCAAGTAATTCTCCAGGGAGGTGAATCCAGACTTTATACAACATTGAACATTTCTAATACTGCACGTTTGTTTCCTCATTTCTCATGTTAACACACAATGTCAGTAACCTAAATAAAGTGACTGGACAGATTTATACACCTGCATGGAGTACACAGAACTTCATTGATATTGTTAGTAAATAATGAATACTTCAGAAATGAGTGCCTGTAAAGAAAAATAATATACACTTGTATATCTACCATCTAACTTTAAAATGAAAAATTACTCCTTCCAGCTAACAGCTGTCCTGATTTTTCTCTTCAACATTTCTTTGTTTAATAAGGATTATTTCTTCAGAGCGGGAAATTGGCAGAGGGTTGGACTGCTCCTTGTAATGCCAGCAGTGATACGAGAAGTTTTAGGAAGGCTTACATGATTGAGTTTGCTCTTGGGTCCTGTGATTACCTGAAGAGCTGCTGACCCTTCAGCTTAAGCCCCAACATCAGAACATGGGGAGCAGATCTGGGCATATCGCTCACGAAGGGCCAAGCGTGGGTGGATGTGTAGTCTAAGGTTTACATGCTCTGCAACAAAATTCTGTTGTATCCTCATCTTCTAGAAAATGCCTGACATGCTGTAGCCACTTTAATAAGTTGGTGTTGAATAAATGAATAAAATGATGACTTATGTTTCAAAGTTGATGAGAGACAGGGTAATAAAGTAACACTAACAGGTAAGCAAGCTGCAGAACATGCAAACCTTTAAAGTTCAGGATCAGTTAGGACTTGGGTTTTGGTTATAATTGGTATTAAAAATAATAACCTAAAGCAGGGAGATGAAACAGGAAAATGACATGATCTGATTCACAGGGACCGATGTTTAGAGAATAAAGTGACGAGGAGGTTGTGTTCGGTCTTGCCTATGCCAGTGTGAGTAGGCAAGCATAGCATTTCTTCTCACCTCTGTCTGTAGGTCAACAGGGGCTGAATGATCTAGACTAGGTTTTCCTGGCTGTGTGTGAGACCAAGTGAAGTGAGCCCAATCTAGCCCCTTCTCCTTAAACAATTCTTCATTAGCCTCCTTCTCATTAAAATACCCATGACCCTACCACAGCATTCTAGACCTCTCAGAATCCTTCACTTCTGTGTCTAATCTGGTTCCCTACGCTTGGTTTTCCTTGTTTCTTCCATAGTCTAAAATCACCTAGAAGCTTTTTTTTGTTTCATTTTGTTAAAGATTTACTTTGAAAGGCGGAGTGACACTGAGAGAAGAGAGAGATCTTCCCCGCTTCTGGTTGACTCTCCAAATGGCTACAATGGCTGGGCTTGGACCAGGTCACAGCCAGGAGTTTGGCATTCCATATGGGCTTCCCACCTGGCTGGCAGGTGCCCTAGTATGTGGGCCATCTAATCTGCTTTCCCAGGACCAATGGTAGAAAGCTGGATTGGAAACATAGTGGCCAGCATTCTGATAACAGCTGCCCATGTCAAGGCTGGTGCCACAGTGCCCTCCACACCTTGAAATAACTTATCAACATTGAGCTCTTGATTTAAATTTAGTTCCAAATCACTCCCTTCTTAGCACCCTATTTAACATTCCTAATCAAGTAGATTTTCTCTAGCAGTTTAAAATGGTTTTCATAATAACTAATGTATATCCATATACCTATTGCATTTATTTATTCAACAATGTAGTTGTTGAACACTTATCATGTAGAGCATTGCATAGTTACGTAACACCCAGCCAATTCTTACAGCTTTTCTGTTACAGGCCATTTTAAGAACTTGTAAGATAGTAATGCTGAACGAAACAGGTGAACATGTTTCTATTCTCAAGGAGCTATTTTGGTGAGAGAACAAACAGGAATAAGAGGAATAATAACAAGAAATAGAGCAGCTGGGACATAAACTTGTACCCCAAGCAAAAGCTTAGCCTACTACATCACAGTACTGGCCTTAGCTGGGTGTTTTTGTTTTGTTTTTTAATTAATTTGAGAGGCAGAAACAGGAAAGAGGAAGAGAGAAACAAAGAGACCAAGACACAGAGTGCTCCCACTCAGTGTTGACTGCCTCAGCAGGGAATCAGGAACTCAGTTCAAGTCTCGCACATGGGTGGCAGGGACCCAACCACCTAAGCTTGACCTGTCACCTTGTGGCAACAAGGATATGCACTACCAGGAAGTGGAGATCAGAACACAACTCAAAGTCAAGCTCAGGAACTCAGGTTTGGTATGTACGGGCATTCTGATAGCCTAACTAGGTCAAACGCCTGCCTCCAATGGGGCAGTTTAAACACAGACATGCATCCATTCTTGGAGTTGAAAATCTGAGATGATGATGCCTGGTGACACCCCTTTTCCAGTTGTGTGTTCACATGGTAGCCTCTTTCTTTATCTTTTTTTTTTAAAGGATTTATTTATTTTGTTTGGAAAGTCAGATTTACAGAGAGAAGGAGAGACAGAGAAAAAGATCTTCCGTCTGTGGGTTCACTCTGCAAGTGGCCACAATGGCTGGAGCTGAGCTGATCCGAAGTCAACAGCTGGCTGCTTCTTTTGGGTCTCCCATGTGGGTGCAGAGTCCCAAGGCTTTGGGCTGTCATCTACTACTTTACCCAGGCCACAAGCAGGGAGCTGGAAGGAAAATGGAGCAACCAGGACATGAACCGGTACCCACATGAGATCCTGGCGCATGCAAGGTGAGGATACCAGGCTATAACGCCAGACCCGATGGCCTCTTTCTTAAAAGAAATTCCTATGCACAAGAGCTCTGCCCTTTCTGCTTAATTTACTTCTCAGAGACCCTACGCACAAATACCATTACATTGAACATAGAGCTCCAACACACACATACAGGAGGGAGGAAACCATTCAATGTATTGTGGGTACCTAAAGGAAAACAAAAGCCCTAACAAGTTTGTGCTTGGCCTGTCCACTAATGATGCAGTTAAATTCCCTTCTCTGGGCCTCTTCAATTGTAAGATGGAGATAAGGTTCATGTAAATACTTCAAAATATTTATGAAAAATGGACTTAAAAGGTAAAGTTAGGGGTCAACAATATGGCACAGTAGGTTAAGCCATAGCTTGAGACACTAGTATTCCATATTCAGTTCTCACCTGTTGCGCTTCTGATCTGGCTCCCTGCAAATGCACCCGGGAAGGTAGTGAAAAAAGGCTGAAGTGCATGGCCATTGTCACCCACGTGGGAGACCAGCATGAAGTTCCCGGATCCTGCTTTTGTCCTGGCCCAGGACTGGTTGTCACAGGCAATTGCAGAGTGAACCAACGGAACTTCTCTCCTTCACCTTCTCTTTCTCTCTCTGTTGCTCTGCCTTTCAAATAAATAAATACATAAATCTCTTTTTAAAAAGATTTTAAAAATCAAGTTTATTTTAGTACCAAAAATTTGAATTGTTGCAGATGAGGGGTCTTTATGACATCTGTGTAACAGGCATATTATGCAAAGATATGCAAGGATTTTAAAAAAGCTTGTGCCAAAATCAACTTATGAGCTGTTGGTAGTTCTCTCATATCCAATAAAACAGAACTTAAATGTGTGTGTAGATAAGTCAATATATTTTATATGACTGCATGTGTGTATGACACACCCTAGTCATATGAGAAGGCTACAGCCAATTCTCAGAGCCAGGGTTTTTCTTAGTTTCGTTGTTTTCAAAATGGGTACAGTCCAGCCAGGAAGACAGGTTGAATCAGTTCTAGCCATTCTTCTCTCTGCTGACTGGCTTACACTGGGACAATGGCCCACTGCATCAAAGCAAACTTGGAAAACCACTGGTCCCTCCCCAAGGCCGGCCCAGGCTAGAGCTGTTCAGATAAGTGGTGCTGTAGATGTGTCTTTCACGCAGCCCAGTCTTTCTGTCCTCTGTTTTATAACTATCACTCCCAGCACCTAATCTTCATGCAGTTGGTATTCCACACATGACGTAATATTTCTTACAAGTTATTGTCATGGTGTCAGATTGCCACACTAATAAAGAAAACTCTGTTGGCACTAGTGGCCTCTGATGAGTTATGCAGAGTATGCAATACAAGAAAACCTAGCCTGAGCCCAGTGGAGGCCAGGTACATGAGTCCCAGGGATGAGGGATCTGATAGGGCTTGGGTAGCTTGGTTCAGGTCCTGGGGTCAACCAGTGTGGTGTGGGCTGGGTTACTGAGCCCCAGGGATATGCACAACACCACTACTGCAGTAACCTTGTGAATGCTTTTGTTGCACATTTTCTGCCACCTGGACAAACAGCTGCATGAAGTCAGGGACCTTGTCCCACAGTGCAGAACCAGGCTGTTTGGTAGATCTGAATAGCTTAGCCCATGGACCAGTGTCTGGCACCTGGGGCTTTTGTTACCCATTCAACACATCAAGAACTGAACCTTGGATTACTCAGTGCCAGGCTCAGAATTTCGCTCCTGCTATGTAATTCCACCTGCAAGTCGTTTTCCAATTGCTCTCGAGTCTTCCTCCCTCAGGTTACCACACAATGACCGACCTCAAGGGATCGCAGGTAAGCAGCGCACTGGAATACTTGTAGGAACTAAGTACATGAGCAAAGCAGGAAAAACACCCGGAAGTTGAAGCAAGTGGGTGTAAATCACACATCCTTAGGTAAACATGGGCGGATGCATTAGTAACCGTCTGACTGACTGGGTTAGGAATGATTTAGAAAATGGAAAAGGGTGCACATGCCGAATAAGAAATAATCCTCACCCTCTCAAAAAGGACTCCGTTTCTGAACAGTTTGTAGGCATGCTCGTTCTCTCTGCTTCCCTTCTGTCTCTTACTCATCCAATTTCGACGAACTCGCTAAGGGTTTCAACTGATTTTTCGGTGTTTACTTTTTAAAGCTCCTCCACAGACTAGAAAGGGCCAAACAAGCAAAAGCCCGAAAAAAAAGCTGCCAGCTTCTTGGCAAAAGGTGCAGCTCTTCCACCGGGCGCCCACGCCCCCTTCCCGTCACGCTCTCGCGTCCACGCCGCGAGGACCACCCCTCAGCGGCCTCCCTCCTCCTGGGACCCCGCCTCCCTCACGCCTTGGGCGGGCGTGGAGCCCTCGGGCGGGCCGCCTGGCGGTGGGGCGCGGGCTGGCAGCCGGCCCACGGGCCCCGCGCGTCGCCCACTCCCGGGACCCCGGGCTCCTTCTGGCTGGCGTCTTCAGGCGGCAGGGAGAGCCGAGGCGTGGGCGGCCGGGATCCGGCGGCGGCCCCGGGGCGCCCGACTCGGCACGGCGTGGGCCCCTCCGGCTCGCCCTCGGCCCGCCGACCCCGCCGGCAGGTCTGAGAGAAACAGAGCGAGCACCCGTCCTTCGCCGCCCGGAAGCTGGCGTCCTCGCCTCGGCAGCCGGACGAACCCACCCCGGCACTCGCTGGGCGCTCAGCTCACCTGGCTCGGCCTGCGGGACCCTGGGCGACCCGGGCTGGCCCGCAGAGCCCGCGCCAGCGAAGGTACCCGAAAGGTTTTATTGTGCGCGCCTGGGCGACCGAATGAATGAATGATGGCGGGAACGGCTGCGTGCAGGGTCGGCACATCCCTTTGCCTATACCTCAAGGACCCGCGGGGCGCCCACCTGCTCTCGTGGCCATCCTGGCGCTAGGTGCCCCGGCTGGCGGCCAGCACTTACCCTCTCGGCACGGCTCCCCGGGCGGCAGCCTCACCTGTCCCCCCATGGCCCCCGGACGGGGCTTCGCGGGCGCCGGCGCTCACTCCTCTCTTTCACCTGGGCTTCGCGGCCCCATGCACTCCCGACGGTGCGGAACTCGGGAGCTCTGGGATCCCGGAGCACCGGCCCCGCCTCTGGGCGGGTTGTGGCCCAGGATGGCCAGCCACGCCCCGCGTCCCGCCCGCAGGGTTTGGACACTCACCCTGCCAGCCTTGGTGGCGGCCTCTGCGCACCTGCTGGGCAGCTGCCCTTCCACACGTCTGTGAGAAATCTCATAGTCGAGACATACGGGCACACGTGGCGGGGTAGCGGCGTCTCCGGGAAGCTGGAGGCCACCTCACTCGTGCAAAGATCTGCCTTGCAGGAGTCATGACCCAGCAGGCTTCGGAAGCCTTTGGGGCGGGGGTTGTCTGCATTGCACGGAAGTTGTTTGTTCCAGGGGTCGTGCGCTGCTTCCTCAAGTTTATTCTGGGGGCTTTGGAACAGATTTTTGCCCTCCCGTGCTGTTCTGTTTCTCTGGCTGCCTGTCCATCCTTCCAACCTGTAAGCGACCCTCACTCTATTCTCAGTCCTGTGCGGAAGGAGAAGCAGCGCTCCAGGCGGGGCGAGGCCTAGTCCCACAAACACCTGCTCGGATTTGTGTCAAAGCACTTCATCTGCATCCGTTCCTGAAATCTCACTGCAGTTTCTGGCCCTCCAGCTTACACATACTGAGGGGTCAGAGGTAAAGGAAGTTGGATAACCTGGCCCCAATTGTTCAACCGGCCTGGGGCAGGCTGGGTCTCAGCGGGTCTCCATGCAACATCAGTTGGGTGCAGATACTGCCCCGTGCTAGCCACGGGTGTCCTGCTGTGTGAGGACAAGGCCCTTGCACCTGCTCATCTTGCTTTTGCTCTAGGTAGGCAAGGACTACGTGCCGTTGGCGCTAACATTCATGAGGCGCCCACCTGGCTTTTCCCACTCTTAGAAGGTGTGATCGAATGAGGCAGCCTAACTGCCTGAGGCAGCACATTCCCCCCACCCCATGTGAATAGCCTTGGGGAGAGCAATTTCTGCTCATTTTGGACAACAAGCCTTAATACTTGTGCATCTATGTAAGTGTCTTCCTTGGCCATCAGGCTCAATTTTTGTCATTACCCAAGATTGGTGATGGCAGCAGAAATAGCCTCGGGTATTATGACAGGCACATGACAGTTGACTCTGGGACAAGCCATTTGTAGTTATTTGTTTTTAAAATCCAATTGCAGTTCCTCAGGAGGGAAGGTGTCGCCATGTGTGCTGTGGAAGCTGGGAGGTGGAGAACAGGTTTTCTTGGTGAGGACAAGGCCAGCCTGTGTCCAGTTGATATGCTTTCCAAGGAAGGCTGGCTTACATACAGTCTTATGTCAAAATGTACTTTTGGGATGATTTTTAAAAATCAAATTCTAGTTCTGTGCTGTCAATTTGATGCTTGCTTTTCATTTCTGAAAATAAGCAGAAAATATCTGTTTAACATTAGCCTCCTCAGGATCGATGTCACCTAGCAGAAATGGATCACGTTTTTTTCTCTGCCTATTCAAATAATTGTATATCATAACAGTTCAGAATGTGACTTCCATTTGGGAGATATTTTTTTAAGTCCCAACAAAAACCGTGTTGTTTTCATGAAAGGAGGAGGATTTTAAAATCTGCAAGTAGTTGGTTCTAGGAAAATTCTTATTCTAACTCAACACTTAGGGTGTGATAACAAATGAGCCCCTTTTCCGGGTCACCTCCTGTCACGGGCTCTGTGCTGGTTACCTGGAGCAAGTGGTGATGCTCAGAATCAGGAACTGTGAGCTTGACCTTTGCCCCTCTCATCAGAGGTGGCTGCCTTAGGACCAGTCTGAGGTTCTGGGGCAGGAGGGGTGGTAGGTGGGAAGGGAATTCGAGACTATTTACAGAAATGTTATTGTCCTGCCTTGCACTGTTCTTACTGTTTGTTAATTGGTGATTTTTCAGTTTTCAATCAACATAGTTATGGAGTTTGTCAGTTTTATGAGTGTTTTCAAGAATCAACTATTACTTTCATTGACTTTTGCTGTTTTCCAATATTAGAACCTAGATAATTTATTTTAAACCCTGTTTATCTTTTGGTACAAGCATTTAAAAGTAACACTTAGCTCCAAATAATGCTTTTGTTTTATTTGCTGGCCTCACACTTACAATTCTTTCTATGGAGATAGGTATTTCATAATTGATTATATAACATTTAGTTATTGTGATTATAAACTATGAGGATATGTCACTGACCACTCTGCTTAGTGATCTCAATGTTCGGAAGACTGACTATGAAATATTTAATAATTTAGAGCTAAGAACCAAAATCCCTCACATTATGTTAAAATAGGAATATAAAGAATTAATCTCATGCAAATGAGCATCTATTCTTAGAGGTAGTTTAAACAAGATTATAAAGATTTAGAGGCAGCTGACAAAGCAAGACAGAGAGCCAGATTAAAAGGAGTTTACCAAGTAGATAATCCAACATGGTTCAGTTCTATCAGTCAAGGTTACTGCAGGTCCCAGGAAAAGAAACCCAGTGGCATAGAGACTGGGTCAAGCTTACCACACTTCGGAGATTCAACAAAACATAGCACTCTCACACTTTTAAATTGGGAAAAAAATCTTAGAATGTGCATTTTACATATGCAGACAGAATCCCCATTGTCTTCAGTTGCAACAAAGCGATACTCTCCCCCTGACTTTCCTCCTCCCGCTGCAAGCCTTCCAGTCCAGTTCCAGAAAATGCAGGGCTCTTGTGTGTGCCTCCTTAGCTGGCTGTTACACTTTTCTGTGGTCATGTCTGCTGCCTGTCTCTCTCCTCTGCCTCATTGCTGAGGAAAGGGCTTGTGTGTGCTGCCAGGTCTTAGAGCAGTGCCGAGCACCCTGGGTGCTCAGCAGTGAATGAATAAGCACTTGTATGAATTCCATGACTTGTTGAAGAATTATTATTTTGCATTATCAAGGATGTACAAGTGAAACATGTGGTTTCATGTGATACATGGAGATGAATAATTTGGTTTCAATTTGCTAGAATTACATAACAAATTATTTAGCAAATGTTTAAGTAATGACTTGGCATATTTACATAAGTTAATTACTTACTAGCCACAAGTCCCATTGCAACATATTGGGTATTGGGAGCATAGGCCAAGCATTTCAAAGCTCTGGTTCAGGTGCTGTCCAAGGACGTGGAGGGAAGGGAAAGGGAAGATGATATATTTATTTACTGAGTGTCCTGTATACTCACAGCCTACAATAGGCAAAATCTTGTTCATTTTTCCTCACACAAACCTGGTGAGTGATGTATTTACATTTTAAGAATATGGAACTTAAGGCTCAGAAAGGTTAAGTAATTTTCTCAAGACTACACGTCTAACACCTCTTATCTCCAGAATCAAAAACAGTGAGTTCGTCATGAATTGTAGTTTGTGAAGGGAAAAGTTGCATGAAAGAAATGTGAGCACCAGGAAAGAAAGGAACATCTGAGATAAAACTAAAGAGTTACTGAAAAGATGGAAGATGGAATGAATTTGTGTGTGTGTGTATGTGTGTGTGTGTGTGTGTGTGTGTGTGTGTGTGTGTGTGTGTGTGTGTGATTCATTGGGGAAAAGCTATTTTATGATGTCCACTTGCAGAGTTTTATGATGTCGCCTGGAGGTTAAGTTGCCAGAGAGATTTACTAGACTTGTGGCTTTAAGTAGTGTATTTCATTGATTAAAATTACTTTTAAAAGTTCTCAAATAACAGGCAGATTATGAGAAAGTGAACATCCCATGTTTGCATGCATGAGCATGTTCCCAGTCTTGTGTGAGGTCGCATTAAGTAATGATTACTTTGGCTAACTCCAGTACTTTGAAAAGAAGGTAAAGGGGCCCAGCATGGTGGCTCAGTGGTTAAATCCTTGCCTTGTACATGCTGGGATCCTATATGGGTGCCAGTTTGCCAGAGTTCAGCTCCAGCCATAAAGAGGAGTGAAATGGACCACTATGATTTCATAATCATAATGGACAATGCAGGAAAGCTGTCCACTGTATTTATACAGAAGCAGTCAAACGCTGGCTCAGACTTCAAGTGGGTGTTTCCAAGGATAATTCTGCGGTTTGTTTCACCTAAAAACTCTAGAAGTTCCTGCTACAATTCTTTTTCTACAACTCAATCTTGTATCACAAAGAAAAGGAGTACCTAAAGATCAAGGAAAGAATGAAACCCTAAATACAGGTTCTTTGATTAGCATAAGGTCAATGGGGACAGCCAAGACAGTATGAATAATAAAAGACCCTTTTGCAAGACACTATTATTGACATTAACTTCCAAGCTCAGATTGAGTAAAAGAGCCAACTCCACAGAAGCAAACAATCCCTGAATGGATTAGAATTCTTCCACAGGGTGGTCTGGTGTCCATGCAAAAGGAGGCGGAGCTGCATTCAGGTGATTGTAGAGACATCCGCTGGGCGCTGCCATACAGCCGGAAGTTCCTTGTGGCCCTGCCTGCAATGGAACAATACTCTTCACACCTTTGTGTCCCCCCACAGACACTGCACGGACTCCAGCACCAGTTCATGTCCTGGCTGCTCCAGGAGCTGGGTGGGAAGTGAACTGGGAAAGCAGTAGAGGATGGCCCAAAGTTAAAAAATAATAATAATAAATAAGTAAAAAAAAAGTCAAGCATTGGGCCTGGCACTATAGCCTAGTGGCTAAATCCTCACCTTGCATCTGCTGGTGAAGAACCTAGGCGTTTTCTGCCTTTTGTGATTCTGCCTTAATGGCTTGGCTGGGGGCTGTGTGAACCTCAGGCCTGATAGCCTACGTGACACCCGGCAGGACACCTGGCAGGTCACGTAGGCAGACCACTCCTCAGGAAGGAAGTACCTGGTACTTGATAAGATTCACAGCCCAATAGCTTATCAATTTGTACTTTTTGAAAGTTGCTTGTTTCAAACCCACCAATAGAAGCCTGCTAAGTCATGACTGTATAATTAATAG